GCTACAGAGGGCCCGGAATAAGGATTATTAAGGTTATTTTGGTTTAATGCTTACAGAGTATGGATGTTTCATTTTGAGGTACTTGTACAGTAACAGGTCATTTGGATTGAAAGACACTGATTCTCCCTTTCATGCCAGAAAAGTTCTGGTGCTCTTTCTTGTTTTATTCACAGAAGTCTCAGACCTATTACATAGTTTGTCAGAATCAACCAATTCACCACTGTCATTTTTCTGAAGTAAAATTGTGGGAACTAAAGAAAAAGAGCTTAAAGTAAATAAGTAAATGCTTTTTTATTTCTCCTACATTTGTTGGCGAATCCTGGCTTTTTGAACTCTAGATCTGTACTTATTTAACTGTATCAGCAACCGTTGCTGAGAACTTAATTTCCAAATAATTTTTTTTTTCTGTTATTGAAATAGAATCACTTTTATTTATTTTTTAAAGTATTTGATTACACATGCTGTATTCATGAAAAATCAAGACCCTGAAGGAGTTCAAATTAGATATAAATTATGTACAGCTCTGAGCTGGTTACAAGTTATGGAGGGGAAAAAAATATGAAAACAGCTAAGCTGAAGCGTTCTTCTTCACATAGGTTGCCATCGTTTTCTTGATTTCAGCAACAGTTTCCCCTAGTTCAGAACCTTGGAACAGGTCTTGGTACGGGTCATGATGATGTGGCAGTGATACAGAGAGAAGGGGTCCTGCAGTTTATATGTCCCTCCATGAAGTCATCTCTCAAGTTGATCGTTCAGCGATAGGCCTGCGTAAGGACTGCAGGTCTCAAATACTTGTCTCCATTCCAGCAGTAGCTCGGGCAGCTGGTGTGTACTACAGCAGGCACAGAGAATGCACTCGTACAGCCCGTCCAGTTTCTCACGATCTTCTTGGGGCTGCTGATATTGCTGCTAGCCTTCCTTGGCTTCACTCTTCTTCTTCAAATAAAGCTCAGTGAATTTGCACTAAGCATAGAGGTTGCTCAAACCAGGAACAAGATCCTTGATAACACATATGTAGAAGAAGGTAGATTTTTTTTTTTTTTATTAAATGTTTTTATTTTGGATTGAGTGAAAGTTTACAGGGCACATCATCAGCTTCACATTCAACTATTCATATAGCTTGTTTCATTACATTGATTATTATCCCCTCCATATATCATCAGTTAACAGTGTTTCTCTCTATCCTCTTTAGCTTTTTTTGGGGGGGGGCGGTGGGCAACTTACCTTTTTTGGAATTTACAGTCTCGGCTTTTAGGGAAGGTTTTTACATTTGTCTGTGGATATCCAGGGTTCATGTATGAGATTACTAACAAGCATTACTGAATAATCAGATGAGTGACAGTTTGCTATGTCTACTAGGTGGCTAAAGTCTGATCCTCAGAGCCTATGGTTTGGACGGTCAACAACGCTTGGGCCCACAGGGTCTTGACCTCCTGATTGGGTCTGCACGGTCTGCATCAGATTCCCCCTTATTTATTGTTTGTTTAAGGGACGCTGCCTATCTTAGGCGGTCAGTGCGAATTCCTCAGTCTTACCCGTCATCGAAACTCATTGCAACATGGCAATGGCTCTGTCTTAGGTTGCCAAGGTTCCACGTGATCCTTACCCATCTCTGGCCACACGTCCAGCATAAACAGCTGCCATCCGAGGAAGGCAGGGAGGGAGGAGATCGGCTGGGGACCCCATATGCAAGACGTTGCCAGACCACCACCTACTCTAAGGTGACCAAGCAGGATCACTATGCTGAGGTTCAATCAAGTTCTTAGGGGATCTTACTCTCTAGTAGGGGTAGCAAATTAGTAGCCACTCAGTGCTCAACTTGAGAATTACTTATATCAGAAATTTGAGCATGTAGCTGATGAATATCCACAGACAAGTGGATATTATTCCACAACCTCCTAAAATGCTGTTGAATTAAGTTCCAATCAAGTTCTGGATTACTGAAAGATAACACAAATCTACTTATACTGTGAATAACCTTAGCTGGGAGTGTAATCTGGATATATTGAGTCTTATTTCCCTTAAGCGATCTTCAGAAGGTAGATTTTTGAGATTTTATTGACGTTGGTGTCAGTGCCGCGAGTGCAAGCTAGGGTGTTGCCTCCATTTATATTTATTGCACAAGAACAACAGATACCTTCTCTGCTTGATCTTCAAAAGGTCAAGGTCAAGGTAGCATCTACTTAATTCTTAATCTTGATCAAAACATCCAACACCATAGGACCACATTAACTCAGATCAATTTTGTAAGTCTGCAAGCGAGATTTATCCCCAGCCTTATCTGGATCCCACGGATAGATGGCAAATTTCTTGATTTGGAAAGCTGCGGCTTCAGCTGTTTTGGGTCCCATGCCATCTTGGCTCCTGACGTCAAGCTCCACCCCTTAACTCTGGAGTCACTGCCTGCCGGCTTCCCACTGAACACCGTGGCACCAACCTAAAGTCCACTCAGGCCAGCTAGCTGCGCAAGAGCTACCAAGTGCAAGGGAACTTCCAGATTATTCCAAATAACGTTTTGAAGGACAGTTAAAACACAGAACTAATCATACAGTCACTCCCTTAAGCACTGCATAATGCTCTCTGCTATCCACCCACGATGGTGAAATGGATGAGAGGGGTGAAGGGAGACCACACAGGGAGACGCAGGGAAGACTAGGGGATGTGCTGGCAGTCACCTCTCCATTCAAAATGGATGGAGTGGGCCTTTGGTGGCACCACGACAAGGAAGGGCATTTCCTTGGTCAAATATTTTAAAGATGCTTATAATGGATGGCTGACTATGTGAATGTTCACTGGGCTTCCTAAGACACCGTTTTTAAAGTTTAACCCCTGGGGCAGCAGAGCAAAGAGATGGGCCCCATTTTCTGGTGACAGGAAGACACTAGCTGCTAGTACTCGGTGATGCAGACATAGACCCCAGGGAGTAGGATTCCTGGCTCTCCCACACAACTTACTCATTACCTCTGCACTCATGTTCACTCACACACATATAATTCCATGGTCTCAAGTAAAACTTACCCATGGCCTGGGCTTGAATTTCTTTTTTTTTAGAGGAGAAGATAAAGAGGGGAGGGACACACTGAGACTAGAATGGGTATTCTGTGCTAGATTATTGAATTCTCTAAACTTGAGGTGTCTAGGAATTAGGGTTTTAAGTACTAGCAGAAGCACCCTTTGGAAATTGTAGTGTGGCCATGATTTTCAAGCATTGCAGCATTTCTCTGCTAGCTCCCACTTTTAGAAAGGTGGCATAATGGGGGTTAAATTCCTGGGAATTTTGTTTCATCTCAGATTTTCTACATGGCATCCATGATATACAGTATGGTGTGCCCAGGGCGTAGGCAGAGGTTAAGCTAAGAGGAAAGCACAGACCTTCTGAACAGGGCCTCAAAAGCTCTTCCCTAAATCTGAGCTTGAACAAATGGTATCAACTTCCAGGAGCAGCTTAGAGAAAGACATTTAAATTCTTTGTTGTTGTTAAAGTGCCGACGAGTCAGTTCTGACCCATAGCGACCCTGTATTGGGTTTCCGAGGAGCTGCTGATGAGCTTGAACCACTGACCTTGCAGTTGAAATGGCTTTGCAGTCTGGCACATTAACCCATAATGCCACACCAATACTCCTAGAGGTTATGAAAAATACAGTGAATGATTACTTGGAAAAAATGAGTATGTACTGATTATGCTTTTAGTCTTCAGCAAGAAAGTTCTAGTAGCTAACCAAGGAAACTCCAGTACTTAACTGGAAAGCCATTACTAGCTGCCCCCTGAAAAGTAAACATTCTAAAGAATTGTGACCCAAATGCATCAAAATCTGATTTCATCTTTTATTAAAATCAGAGCTGTAAAGAAGTGGGGGAGGGCACTACTGTTATTGTTAAGTGCTGTTGAGTCAGTTCTGATTCACAGTGACCCTGGATAGGGTTTTTGAGGCTTTAAATCTTTGCAGAAACAAAAAGCCTCATCTTTCTCCTGTGGAGTGGCTGGCGAATTCAAACTGCAGACCCTGTGGTTCACAGTCCAGTGCTTATCATATGGAGCCACTGCACTCCCGGGTTATTATACCCTTTTTAAAGTCCAGACATACATTGAACTCACAAAGAAACTGTGTGTCTTTAAAACAAATACTATGATGTCATGGGCAATTACATGATTGGGTTTCATGGATTAAAAAATAGCTGTCCATATGCATGTAGTCTAGAAAGCATGCTAAGAAGGGAAGTTCTGGACCAGACAGAAAAAGGCAGTGGAGCCATTGTTAAGTCTTTGCTTTTGCTTGCATAGCATGTGTCACTTGCTACCACTCACTATGAGGTAGATTTGTTTTTTCTCTCATCTTCATCATAGAGTATTTTCATTTTATTATGGAGAAAAAGAAATGAAAGAAATAATGGTATCTGTTTACAAAATCATTCCATTTCTGTCAAGCTGTCCAGGCATCCCTCTCAGGAGTGTAGTGAGGGGCATGAGAATGCTTTTCTCAGTATATCTTTCTCAGAGGAGGGGGCACCACATGAAGATACTCAAATTCTCTGAACTTGCGTCTAGGCTAATTGTTCCTCACTCTTTACAAAAACAAAAGCAAGTTATACAATTTCAGTAGGAAGAATATTCTTACAGATTTTCTCTATAGATGTCATTACATTTAGTTATCTACCTCATAACCTAAAGGAAGGAGCTGCATTGTTGGTTTTCCTCAATAACTAGGAGAGGAAAAAATCCTGATTAGTCTCTCCTAGCTAGATGTTTTATTTTTTAGTAATTTTGTAAAAGGTAAGTCATTTCTGTTACTAAGTCCAGAAAAATGCATAGCCATGATTCACGTAGGTCTTCTGACTGAACCCTTTTGGCATAATAGTTTACTCTTTTAAAATACTCTAGCGCTCTTTTACCATGATGAACACACTGTTTAATAGCTACATGTTCAGATTAGTTCATTGGCTTTTTGTTGAAATTTGTCTGTTATTTTGGTCATGGCATTTTCACTTCTGTCTTTTTCCAGAAAGAACTAGAGAAGCAGAAGAGAATTGAGAGAAACCAGCAGTTGGAGGCAATAGCAAAAGAACATTATGAAAGGGTCGTGCTAAGAAAAAAAGGTTTGGAGCCTTGGAAGATATTGAGAATGCAAAGCAAACAAAATATCCAGGTACAGTATCAAACTATTACCCCTCCCTCCCATCCCCTTTATCCAATTGGATGACCATCTAATTTGATTTTAGAGGTAATTCGGTGATTTCAGTCAGGAGGATAACTGAGTTGAAAGTGTGTATTTATGTGGGACAAAAGTTTAGAATTGGTCATCCACGGTAGAGAAAGACTGCTATAAACAGGTTGGAAAAAAACAAGAACAAAGTAAGACGAATACAGGTTTCTCACAATTTGAGCAGAGTTTAAGAAAGAGAAAAATTAATACTATCAAGTGTATTCATTAGGTTTCTGCCATGATAAATTTGCATAACAAATAACTCCCAAATATCAGTAACTTGAAGGAGCTCTGGTAACATAGTGGTTACAAAGCGGGCTGCAAACCTTAAGGTCAGCAGTTTGAAACTACCAGCTGTTCCTCGGGAAAAAGATGACGCTTTCTGCTCCCATAAAGATTTACAGCCTTAGAAACCCTGTACAGGATCTGCCCTGTAAACTTTCAGTCAATGCACAATAAAAACCTTAAAAAAAAAAAAAAGAGGAGACTCTGAAACTAACTCTCTAGCGTTTACATATTAAAGTGAATGGAAGAAATGAGGAAGTAAAAGAGCTGAGCAGAAAATTTCACAAGACAGCTCAAGAAGACAAAGTATTATAATGAAATGTACAAAATCCTGGAGTTAGAACACAAAAAGGGAAGACCACACTTAGCATTTCTCAAGCTGAAAAACTGAAGAAAAAATTCAGACCTCAACTTGCAATATTGAAGGACCCCATGCACAAAATATTGAATGATGCAGAAAGCATAAAAAGATGGAAGGAATAAACAAAGTCACTGTACCAAAAAGAAATGGTCAATGTTCAACCATTTCAAGAGCTAGCGTATGATCAAGAGCCAGTGGTACTGAAGGAAGAAGTCCAGTGTGCATGAAGGCGTTGGAAAAGAACAAGGCTACAGGAATCGATGGAATACAACTGAGATAAACAAATTGATTCCGTACTGGAGGCACTCATCTAAGCCAAGAAATTTGGAAGATAGCTACCTGGCCAATTTATTGGAAGAGATCCATATTTGTGTCCATTCCAAAGAGAGATGACTCACCATAATGTGAAAATCATTGAACAATATCATTAATATCACATGCAAGTAAAATTTTGTTGAAGATAAAAAATGGCTGCAACAATACATTTACAGAGAAATACCAGAAATTCAAAACAGATTCAGAAACGGACATGGAACGAGGGATATCATTGCTGACTCCAGATGGATCATGGCTGAAAGCACAGAATGCCAGAAAGATGTTTACTTGTGCTTTATTGACTATGTAGACACTCTTGGCTGTGTGGATCATGACAAAATATGAATAACATCACAAAGAATGGGTATTGCAGAATATTTAATTGTGCCCATGTTGTTGTTAGGTGCCATCGAGTCAGTACCAACTCATAGAGACCCTGTGCATAACAGAACAAAACACTGCCCAGTCCTGGGCCAACCTCACAATTGTTGCCACAGTTGAGCCCATTGATGCTGCCACTTTGCCAACCCATGGCAATATGTCTGAAGTATGAGAGACGAAGTTTGGCCATCTTGGCCTCTAAGGAGCACTTTGGCTGTACTTCTTCCAAAACAGATCTATTGGTTCTTTTGGCAGCCCATGGCACTTTCAATATTCTCCCCCAACACCATAACTCAAAAGCACCAATTCTTCTACGGTCTTCCTTATTCACTGTCCAGCTTTCGCATGCATATGAGGTTATTGAAAATACCATGGCTTGGGTCAGGCGCACCTTAGTCTTCAAGCTGACATCTTTGCTCTTTAACACTTTAAAAAAAGGTCTTGTGCAGCACATTTTCCTAATGTAATACATCGTCTGATCTCTTGATTGCTGCTTCCTTGAGTGTTGATGGTTGATCCAAGAAGAATGAAGTCCTTGACAACTTCAATCTTTTCTCCATTGATAAAAATGTTGTTTATTGGTTCAGTGGTGAAGATTTTTGTTTTCTTTACATTAAGATGTGATTATACTCATGAGGAACCTGTATATAGACCAGGAGGCAGTCAGTAGTTTGAACAAAACGAGGAGATACCGAATGGTTTCAAATTAGGGAAAACTGTGTGGCCAGCGTTGTATTCTTTCACTATATTTATTCAGTCTGTATGCTGAGCACATACTCTGAGAAGATGGATTATGTAAAGAAGAACTTGGCATCAGGATAGGCAGGAGACTCATTAACAACCTGGGATATGCAGATGATACAACCTCAGTTGCTGATTTCCTCAATGTCAAGAAAACAAAACTCCTCACAACTGGACCAATAAATAACATCATGGTAAATTAAGAAAAGTTTGAAGTAATCAAAGACTTTGTTTTATCTTGGATCCACAATCAACGCTCATGGAAGCGGTAGTCAAGAAATCAAATGGCTTATTGCATTAGACAGATCTGCTGCACAAGACATCTTTAAAGTATTCAAGAACAAAAATACCAGTTTGAGGACTAAGATGTGCCTGACCCAAATCATGGTATTTTCAGTAACCTCATATGCATGTGAAAGTTAGACAATGAATGAGGAAGACTGAGAAGAATCGACGCATTTGAATTGTGGTTTTAGAGAAGGATATTGAAGGTACCATGGACGGCTAGAAAAACAAACAGTTCTATGTTGGAAGAATTACAGCTGGAGTGCTCCTTTGAAGTCAGGGTGGTGAAACTTACCCTCTCATACTTTAGACATGTTACCAGGAGCGATCAATGGTGGGAGAAGGACATTGTGCTTAGGAAAGTGAAGATAAGCAAAACGAGAAAGACCCCCAGTGAGATGGGTTGGTGCAGTGGCAGCAGTAATGAGTTTAAGCATAACAGCCGTTGTGAGGATGGTGCCTGAGCAGGCCGTGTACAGTTCTACTGTGCATGGGGTCACTGTGAGTGGGAACCAACTGATAGCACCTAACAGCAACCCCAGCAACCACAAAGGAAGCAGCACACGATTTCCATAGTGGTTGTAGCATTTTGAAGTCCCACCAGCAGTACTTAAGAGTTCCTATCTCCCAGCAGCCTTGGCAGCATATGTGGTTCTATGCTTTTTTTTTTTTTTTTTAATATCAGTGCCCTCATTGCCAAGGTGAGATGGTATCTCATTGTAGTTTTGATTTGTGGCCTGGTGTGGTGCTGTAGGGTTAAGTACTGAACTGCTAATAGCAAGATCTCAAACCCACCAGCCACTCCTATATACGGTCACTATAAACAGAACTGACTCAACAGTACTCAACAACAGTGTCTAATGCTGATGATCATCTTTTCATGTGCTTGTTAGTTGCCTAAATGTTGTCTTTGGTCAAGGGTCTGTTCATATCCCTTGCCCATTTTTTAATTGGATTGTTTGTCTTTTTGTTGTTTAGATGTGAATGTTTTCTATAAATTTTAGTGATTGGTGGTGGTGGTAGTGTGCTGTGGAGTTGGTTCTGACTCATCGGACCCTGTATAGGGTTTCCGAGACTGTAAATCTTTTTTTTTTTTTTTTCCAACACAGATCTGTTTATTCTTTTCTTTTTTCAATGTTTTATTGTGAATTATGTAATAGTTTACATGGGAGAACATTAGTTTTCATCCTATTGTATATCATTTCATTGCCATGGTTACAATCCCCTCCATGCATCATCAACCAACCAAAGTGTATACACTATAAGCCTGCTCCCCAGTCTCTGGTCATCAGCACACAGCCCCTCTCCCTCTCTGTATCTAAAATCCCCAGCCG